GACTGGTTTAGAAATTTCACACTCCGCTTAATCCCACCCTAGCCACTACTGTTTTTAACTGTGCAGTGTAGTTTTGTTCATTTTTAAAGATACCAGTATATCATACAGTGTTTTAAACAACATATACAAGTGTACACTGTAATACCTAACTGCATATTTTAAAGAAAGAAATAAGTCAATACAATTTAAATGCTAAAGAAAGTCTGCTTAATCTGAAAAACTCAAAAATGAATTGTTGACAGTAATTCAGTCATTTTGAGTAAGATCATTTTTAGCATATTATGAGTTAAGGTAGCTTTATTGAAATGTTTTATATTCCCTGTTTTTATTTAAGTTGACTTTACAGGCAAATATAGACAGGCCTTTAATGGGTTGCTTTTAAAGATTGTTAAAGATTTAGTGTGGCTTCTCTGTTTTCCCCTCTTCCAACAATTTATGCACACTTGTAATGAATGCGAGACTATTTACACCATGTATTAATCTTAATTTTAGCCTATTCAGAATTACCTACGATAAGTGATAGTTGCCAAGCACATGAAACACAGTCTTGATGCCTATCAGGAATAGCTGGTCACTTTAGCAAAGGTAGAATATATTCTAATGTTTTTGGCTAAAACATCAGTTGATTCAGTGGTTGAGCTGTTGGAGTATTCCGTATCAGTGAATTTATCTGATAGACTGCATTAGTGCTTACATTTAAATGATTTGGACTTTTCATGCTTTTCTTATAACTTTTTTTCAACAATTTCAGACATTTAAATAGCATCTTTGAGTTTAACTGACTTAATTAAATTTATTTTAGACTTCTCAGCTTTACTTGATAAATGTTTGGTCCATGCAACAATTCTTGAGTAAAACTCATATTCTTACTATTGGCTCTTGGTATCACATATTTGCATATTAGGCATACTGACATTCTCCCCAGCCCACCTTCCCTAGGGTGTTTACTTTTTTCTCTACATTTTTGTGACCCATTAATCTCAATCAATACCAATTGCAAATCAGTGTTGAGGGAGCCCCACATACTGAGTGTAGTTCTGTGGTGGCTAAACACTACAGAGATTAATTTTGCACTCTGGACTAAACTGTCAGCATTTGGCAAGAAAATGGTCCGCAGTAGTATTAAGTTAAATAGGTTAAGATATTGTTATCAATGTCGATTATTGTCAATTATCTGCAGTACAGTATGATTTTGTTGCCATTATAACCTAGTTTAGCCTAGCAGTGAATTTTAAGGACAATTTTTAATTGTATTGGGTTAGTAAAACTATTATAACTCTAAAATACTCAGTCATTTTAAGATCAACAAAATGAATGGAGTTTATACGATATAATCAATTTACTTAAGTGTATACAACAATGAACATATGTTTTGTTCATACTCAGTTCAGCTGGTTATTTATGGTCAAATGATTTGAGTTAAACTTAAATGGTTTAAGGCAATCTGTCTCCTCAAACCATTTGAGTCGACTCAAATGAGACTACCTTTCTCACATGTGAGTATTTACGCATGCATTTTGCAAGATGCTTACAGCTGCACCAAAAGCTTTCACTATGTTGGCTACATCAGCCTCATCGACCCCATGTAAAACTACAGAAGCAAACTTTGAACACCATTATCATTGAACAAATTATCTCAACTAATCAACGGGATGGGGTAAATTTGTGTAATTAGCAAAACACCAAAGGTAACACCACAATGCATGTGTCCAACACATTAACAACACTAGAATGATATGTTCAAATGAAACATTAAATGGAGCTGAAATTTCATCCCCTTCCCTGGTGAGCTTCCTGATCAAAATCTCATACCCTTTCAACCGTTAGCATTACACCTTGATCACAGCAAATACCAGCGGCAAACACCACGTCAAAGATGCTGGCCTGGAGAATGTTTTGTTCCTGAGACAATATGCTGAGAGGTCGGCGCTGGCTGCAGTAACAAGCTGCAGATAGGCTCGTGACGAGCCTCGCAGGAAACAGTGTATACCCCAGGGGACAGCCGCGAGCGACGCCGCGCCTGGTGCGCCCCACATGTCTGAAGCCCTGCATGTGTTTTCCATCTTTAATTAGCTGGGATGCTTGCCGCATGGAGTCACTAGATAACGCCGAATGATTATGTAAGGATTTTCGTCAGTGCAGCCAATGCCCAGGGCCAGCAGCCAATATAAGCAAGCACGCGCTGGAATTTGAATGGCCTTTGACCCTGCCGCGACCCCCTGTGCGCAGATCATTTGAGTATGTGAACTTGAACGGCCACTATTAAGGTTTAGGAAGCAAGTATAAGCTTTGTTTGAGATGACTTTCCACAGTCACGAAAGGCACAAGTGATGGAAGAGTCGTGTTTGGAAACTGTAGTAGTAGTACAGCAGTGGTGTGACTGCTGCTTTCATGATTTGCTCTTAGATTCATGAATTTGACGGTCATGTTTCAGCAAGTTGCAGTGCACGAATACTGCAAATTATGGTAATACAGAGTGTTTCTATATGTCTAACAGTATATACAAAATACATCACAATATTTAGATTTTCTGAGGTTTGTAAACAAATCAGAATGGACCAAATGAATCTGAAAAAGGCAGTACAGCGTTTAAAAACATCCTAAACTATGTTCAATTCACCAGTTGCTGGCATGGACTCACATGCAACCAACTAATTGGTACTATGCAGTTAATGCAGTTACTATAGACTTCTTGTTGTTGTTTACAGGCTCTATATAGTTGGTCTAACTCTCTGTTTTTATATACACCCAGTTTTTCAGTGTTCTTGAAGTAATGATGATAACTATGACATAAAAGCATACTGTGACAATCACGATATCATCACACTGCCCCATGCTCCCTTAAGGTGAGGCCACTAGTGAGTGTGCTCCAGGAACAGTAAAGTGCTTTGGTGCACTGATCTAATGCACAGTGAATGTAGAATTGAGACCGCTGCATACTCCACGTTAGTAAAGCTGTTCATCAGAACAGTTACCTAAGTAGCGAGAGACTGACAGTGTTATATGTCATCTGCTGTAAATCTGATAACAATAAACAAACAAATTTCATCTCTGAAACCAGGGCAAGCTGTTCCTCCTTCATGATAGCTATTACAAAACATTTCTAGCATAAGGACAGCCGAAACACGATAACACAAGATAAAACGAGAAGAGGCTATCACAATGTAGCGCCAAGAAGATTTGGTCTGTGTTTATTTAAAGACCTTTTAATAGCTTTATATAATACTTTGATAAGATGCATTCCTATGAAGGCTGGACAAGAAAAGGATTAACTACATGAAATGTCCAAAAGTATCCAAGCAGCCCATCTTATCAGTGAATTTAGATACCTAACCTCAATAATGCTCTTGGGGCCGAATGCCATCCAATTCTCACAGCAACGTTCCAATATCTAGTGTAAAGCCTTCCTACTAGAGTTGAGGCTGTTACTGTGGCAAAAACGGTGACAAACGCCCTATGAATACCCTTAATTTCTGAAAAAAACACTGGATGACATGTCCAAATGTTTGGACATTTAAGGGCAGATTTACTAAGTGAGGCGCTAATGCACGACAATCTAACCACTTTGTGGTGGTTGGGGTGGCAGGTTATCTAAGAATTTCCATGCAAATGAACACAGACACAACTTATATATATAACCACATTCTTGGCTGACGTGTTGTCATGATGTTTCCGCCAGGATAAAGTTCCTTCTTTGTTTCAGGTTCAAACTGTGACTCATTAGGGTGAAATAATGAAATGAAAAGATCAAAGAATTAAAGAATGTTTACTCTTCAAGAAAGTATGTGATTATTGAGATTATTTCAACATCATAAGTAATTATTCTGAGAAAATATAACATTAACTGGACATAATACATCAAAAATTAACAATAAGTAATTATTTATTATATAAGTAATTATAATAAGTAATTATTTTTACTTTCTGTTTTGAAACACATGGTGGGATGAGCTGAGCCAGTTCTGTGTCGAGTTCACTTGGAAATCATGTGATATTGTAAAATCCCTGTTTAATTTCACTGAGCACACAGAGGTTGTTTGGGATCTGTATGGTTTTGAGCATAACCTCTTAGCTATGTGCAACACATTAAAGAATGACCGTGACATTTCTGCCATAGCACACACATACAACAGTGTGCACAGAAGGCACAGTGCACAGGAATAACAAAGCAACAAGCCTAACAACCTTTGTAAAGCAGGGATTGTGGAGCCAAAGAGTCTCAATATGTGCTATTAACAATTGTTTGGAAAAGAAAACTGTCAAGAAGGCAAAACCTGCTCTCTGATAGTATTATAATAAATACCCAAAGCAGTGAGAAATAGCAGTTTATTTTTTCTAAAATTATTCAGTTTGTTTATTTTCTTCTGCAAATTAAGAATAAATGTCATGTGCATTGCATTTCTAAGTGTTTTTTTCCATCAAAATAAATAAACTTAATACTATCAGAATAGGTGGTTCATTGCAATAACATTGCCCCAGTATTTTGCATTTTAAGAGGGAAATTCCTATAAAGTGTATATGCAATGAGGTAAAAGCGCAATAGAGCAGCAACTGTCCACTTGGTCTTTTTATAGGTGCTAAAGAGCCATTGCATGTATTTAATGAATTACAACAAGCACTTTTTATCACCAAAATGGAGTCTGCAACAGTACAAAATATTAGTATTATCTGCCCTATAGTGTATGCAGTGAGGAGGCATCATCGACCACACTTCTGTTTTTACAGTGTTTTTTCTCACTGATCTGTGTGTTACTTTCACTAAATAATGCTATACCTGTACCTACAGCTAACCTTACTTAAAAATCAGTAACCACAATGAAATAAAAAATAAAAAAGCCCTTTTTCCTCGGTGGTGACTAGTAAAGTGTCCTGCAACATCAAAACGTTTATGTTTTCCAATCATTGTGGGGTCACAATCATTTGGTCCCCAAAGCACTTGACTCACATAGCAGACATGCACAATGGAGAGCCACAGATAAAAGAAACAGACAAGGCCTTACCTTTCTTAGACTTGGCACCTATCTTCAACTTTGAAGGCCATGCAATTTGAGTACTGGTCTCTTCCATGACCTGTACCAAAAAAAACAAAACAAAAAAAAAACAGATTTTAAAAGTTCCCAAATATCACAATAGATATATCCATCAAACGTACAAATGGTTGTGTCAATAGTTAGTGTCATGAAAACACTGCTGGTTTAATAATATTTAATTATTGTTTTATGACAGCTCCACAGTATTAGCCTACAATTTTAAAGTCCCAGCTCAATTGCCTTTTTAAAAAAAAATTCAGAAAAAAAATTGTGTATTAGACAGCATCTAATAATTTTCTAAGAACATTGCCTTAAAACAAGCGCTTTGTTTTTATTTCTCATTGTGGATGTAAACGCCAACATATTGCATATTCATGTCAACCTCTTGTTTCACAGCTTATGTTTTAAAGACAACAGTTCAGTGTAGCTTCATGCATGGCACATAGTGGAAACATCATCACAGGAACCCAAACTTACACGTATAACACTTGGTAACACTTGGTTTAGGCTTGGTTATTTGCATATATGTATATCCGATCTTTGAAGTAAATGGCTTGAAACCACGCTTAATAAACCTTGCATAACAACATGATCTTGTTTAACAACCAGCTCGACACACTAACAGGCTCGTTCAATAACATACACACCAAACGTGATTTATTTCTGTGATTTATTTGGATGGTAATACATTTATCCGAACTTTCACAGGTGAAATGAACTTAACTAATCATTGTTTTCAGCGTAGTGACAGCCAAGATGGCAGATCTGTGTGCCAGCAACCTGCACTTTTAGACAGCATGATAAAGATTGTCCTCTACTTCATCAGGAGTGGGGCTACTATCGCCAAAGGCAACTTAAACTGGGCTATAGACAAGAGCATTTGCAAAATATTAAACTCTCAATAAAACGTTTTGACGACTGCCACTGTAGCTTTTTTCAAAAAAGAGAGGTACCTAATGCCAACTTTCACCTCTTTTTGAGAAAAACGTCCATTTTGATGTCCATCATGCTCATGTAAATACTGGCTTCCTCAAGAAGAGGTTTGGAAATGGTTAAACTAGCATACTGACAGACATTAAATCACAATGTATTGTTTATTTATTTATTTATTTACTTATTATTTGTTTATTTGTATTTATTCTGTCTGTTAGTGTTTTTTGAACAAATAAATTATTACTGCTTGAATAAATGGCTTTACATACAATTTTCTCAGAGACTTCTCAGATCAATCATAGACTATAGTGTGACACAAACATTTGCCCTCCATGATTTGGATGGTTACTCAAGTTTGCATGTGCAAGAAAACAAGTGAGAAACTATAATAGTACCCAAGATAGAACATGCACATGTCCAAAAGACTTCTAGTTATGGACATTTCGACCACACTAAAAACAGATCCATTCTAAATCAATGTTCAAATTACAATCTCATCCTACTGCACTGAGTTCTTTAAACTTGCTAAAGCATTGACTGAGGTGAGATTTTATGTTCTGTACTGAAGGAGTGCTTGGAATATATTGGGGACTCTTGTAATTAACTTTTGAATCAAAGTTTGGATTAGAAACCAACTCCCACTGCACTGGTGGTTGCTTTCTGCACTTGCTGGGTAACAGTCAGGCATTGTGTTTGGCATACAGGCCCACATTCCAGCAACTTGACTTCTGTCATTTGAATTAAGAAGTCAAGAGTATGACCACTTAAGAGGTGATTAATAACAAGCCACTAATCACCCATTATGCCACTCAAGTGCCAAGCAAAAGAAAACTTGCATTCCTCTGAGCATTTCTGACACACATTGTTAAGGATCTAGGACCAAAAATTGGTCAAACATTCTTCCCGTAGCCAAGGTCTTCAGAATTCTCTTTTCAATCAGCTCCAAAAGTTTCAATTAATTGCCTTCAACAAATTATTTTAAACTAATTTCACAAAGACTGCATGAGAAAATCATTTAAATTGGAAAATGGTCATCCTGTCTATTACAGCAGTTAATATAAAGTACTTTAGTTTTTCCCCAAAAGTGTCTGTTGTTGTAGTAAAAATTAATTTGCTTTGATTCCTGACAATCATGCTTCACTCATGTAGCTACATTTAGTTATTTAATCAGTTCACATGCTAATAAATTCTGAGGGCCTTTTACAGCACTAGCTTTAGCCCAAATTAATAAATAAATAAAACTGTGGATTCCAATATCTGATATGTTTCATGCTGATGCAGACACATATTTATATACATACACCGACCGGCCACTTCATTAAGTACAACTTCTTGTATCTATATTCACTGTCTATTTTATAAGGTCCATTTACCGTACAGATGCACTTTATACATTTACAGACTGTAGTCCATCTGTTTCTCAGCATTGTCAGCCTTTTAACTTTGTCCTTCAATGGTCAGGACCACCACAGAGCAGGCATTATTTGGGTGGTGGATTATTCTCAGCACTGCAGTAACACTGACGTGGTGGTGGCGTGTAAGTGAGTTGTGCTGGTATGAGTGGATCAGACACAGCAGTGCTGCTGGAGTTTTTAAACACCTCAGTGTTACTGCTGGACTCAGTATAGTCCACCAACCAAAAATATGCCACCAACAGCGTCCTGTGGGCAGCGTCCTGTGGGCAGTGTCCTGTGACCACTAATGAAGGACTAGAAAATGATTAACGCAAACTGTTTGGCAACGGATGAGCTATCATCTCTGACTTAACGTCTACAAAATAGACCAACAAGGTAGACTGGACATAGTGTTTAAAAAGTCCAGCAGCACTGCAGTGTCTGATACACTCACACCAGCACAACACAGACTAACATGCCATCACCACGTCAGTGTCACTGCAGTGCTGAGAATGATCCACAATCCAAATAATACCTGCTCTCTGATGGTCCTGTGGTGGTCTTGACCATTGAAGAATAGTGTAAAAGGAGAAACAGATTAAACAGATGGGCTACAGTCTGTAGTTGTAGAACTACAAAGTGTACCTATATAGTAAGTGGACAAGGAGTGTAGACATAAGATAGATGTACTTAATGAAGCAGCTGGTTAGTATATGCACACATTTACCGTACTTTGCAAATGTCAGGGACTACCTTTCATTTTCTTAATTTCAAGACAGAAAGATACAGAAAAGAAAACATGCACATCAAACAAAGAAGCTACTAGTGATCTCAGAGCACTGGACTGGCCACCCCAGAGCCGAGACTTCAACATCATTGGATGTGTTCAGGAATACTTGGATTGTGAAAAACAGAAAATGCAACCAACTTCTAAAACTGAACTTTGGAGGTGTTCACAAGAAGCATGGAAAAATGTCCCTACAGATTTCTTTGAAAAAGATAACAGATAATAGCTTTAATGTACACAATAAATGGGTAGAAAAGTTGTACATTTGGACCGCATTGGGTTAAACTGGGTTAAAACCAACATTTTTACCTCTAATTAGAGATCTAATACAGACAGTAACACAGTCTAGACAGCCCTACCTTTTGACTACTGCCAAGATATCACTCTGACTTTGACATGAAAGGACTATTTGACTGACATGATAAATGGGCTAACTATGATGTGCAGGCAGATTACTTTACTCTCTGTCGATGTGCAGCTCCTGGGCGTTACCGGTGCCTCATTAGCATTTAGCTTTGTAAAAAAACTGATGCAGGGAAGGGCATACTTTCATAAAAGTACCAGCTATTCAAACAGCTTTTCCATTCTCAAATATTTTTTATCATATTTTATTTTATTGAATATTCATTACAGGCCTATTAATGTTGTTGATGTTGTTGATGATTCTGTGCTATTTTCTCCTAATTATTTCTGTAGGGTTAGAAATGCAGCCCAGCATCACCTAAACATTCTGCTCTTCCAGAACACAATAAGCACGTCATTAAATATTGGTTTAAAATATTGGTCAAACCTAAACATTGCCTGACACCTATTAGATAAAGCAATTGTCTGCCAATAGCAATGAGAATTTGATATCATCAGCATCAAAGGTATTGACATTAATTCAATATCATCATTTTAAAAAACACAGCACTTTCTGCCATGCCACTTTTGCTGGTGAAAGCTGCAAGGCCTGCAAAGCTTCAGCTCAACATCACCCAGTAACATATGTCCAGCTGAAGAAGGAAAACGACCTCCAATTAAAACAATCTGGGCTCAAAAATTTACCATAAAAAAAAACAAAAAACTGCTCAGTTCCTTTCTGGAAACTGGGGATTTATAAAAGGGTGGGGGAGTAAAGAAAAAAGTCTGAATATTTTCAGCATTACAAATAGAGTATGAAAAAGCCCACAGAGATTTAGTAGAGGGCAGTTCCATATGCAGGCCATGGAAGCAGTGAAGTGTTTATGAATATGGTTTTATGCCCACCTAACTGACTGCCACAATCAGTCACGGTACGAGAAATGATCAAGCCAACATATGCTTGCAAGGACAGAGTATTAACATTCATTTCAGATCATGGCTCGGCCTCCAGGCTCTTGCTGAATCGAAGGGGCATGCCAGCGCCCAAACTGCGCCACGGTGCATTCACATAAATGGTTGAAGAAAATGATTTGATGCAACACTCTGTTTTCTTTACTCTATGAGCCAGGAAGCTCAACAGACAGTGCTGAAAAGTTTTCTACTGCTAGGCCAAAGCCCAGTGATGTAATCACAGTCTGGGTGATAAGTTCTTCACAGTGTTCCGAGCAGGAGACATCACTTCTGTGTTCTTCGGATAGATGTGAGGCATGCTTCTGTTTTCTTCACGCACATTTTTTATGGTTCATTATCCATTAGAGGCGTGAAGAACCCCGCTGCCTCTGTGGCAAACTTCGGATGACTCTGGCCAGATCTCCACTCTCTGACTTCACCTTGTGTAAACACTTTTCTGTTCTGATGTGACTGCTGATTTTGGCAGCAGCAGGCCCCTTTGAGTGACACTTTTAAACAGACCACACACACCTCAGGAGGGCTAGGGCAGCCTCCGTGTTTCACGATGAGTTACGGGACACCAAGTACTTTTATATTAATTTATAAACTCCAGTCAACTTATCTGGTTCAGTA